AAAGTTCACACCCCTAGTAGAGTTTGTCTGGTACCCTTGAGCAGCTTGTGCTCCACAGGCTTCTCTCTGCAAAGTCTGCAAGAAATAAAAGAGAAAATCAAAACTACTGGTACTAGCATTAATTTTGTCCCATAAAAGTCCATATCTGCCACAAGAAAAGATCTAATTTAAAACACAGAATGTGAATAAAGGCAGTTTTTCATAATTAATAGAACCATAGATGCTTTCTTCAGCGATAAAAATGCTTATAGCAGAAAGAGGGATATGAAAGCATAATGCTGCAACAAAAATGTGTTCTCAAATCTGTATGCTGACTTTTATAGTGTGAATTCTAATTACGATCATAAGGCCTGAGCAAACTGGAAAGGCAGTTAAAACTAATTTGCTTCCCACTGGCATAGAGCAGGGTGTCCACTGCTGTGGCTCATCTGGTAACTCAGCGCTTACACTGAGCTGATCGCTGGCAGTCCCTGTGCACTGCCTTTAATAATTAGCAGACATAAAACATGTTGTGTGCAACTAACAACAGGAGTAAATCACTGCAAGTAGAAAGAACATGTGGTTATAAATTACTCTGTAAATAATTCATGGAACAAGCAAAAAGTGAAGCCTGAACTTCTGTTTCTCTCAGATTAGTATTTCTTCAGTCCCTCTGAAGTAAAATGTAAAGATCCGGATAACCCAATAACCATCTGTTTATTTATATTCACATCCTCCTAATGACTTGTTCTTAATTAGAAAAAAAGAACAATTATTTCTTCATTTGCAGTACAAGAATGTTTGCTTTCTACACACTACAGATTGCTTTATGAACTCCTTCTACTGTGCGAATATGGAACAAGGGCGAAGTTAAATGATTCTCTCCTATAAATTGGCCTCACAGTAACATCACCATAACAAAGAGGTGTGAACAGCACCAGGAGGTAAGAAAAAACGTTTGAGCTACTAAACCCTTAAATCTCAGATAAAACGTTACATAATATATTGCAAGAAGATCGCAACAGAGAGGTTGATAATCAGAAATAACGTAATTAACTGAAAAATGCTGGAGGCACAGGGAAAAAGAGGGGAAAAAGGAAAGCATGGAAAGCAGGCAGAGACAAACTCTGCATATGCTTCAAGCTTAAAACGTACAATCTTGGTCTGACCCAAAAGCTGTGCAGCTTGTCAATGTTTTACTAAACTCAAGCTAAAAAATCTGGGTTGATTAGCTCTGGACTGAAAACATGCTCAGAGCCAAGAGATGGCTCATCTCTGGTGAGATTCTAAGTCTTGGGTATGTAGAAGTGCTGTAATGTCCTACAGCCCTCAGCTTTATCACATACTTACTGAGTGAACACCTGTATTTGAAAACCAGCTTATGAAAAGTTCCTTGTATCTATCATTTCTAGGAAGGGAACTGGGCGCATCAACGCCATTCCTCCATCCTTCCGAGAAAGAAAACTCTGGATCCACAGAATCACAGACCAACGGAACGTTCCGAGTTGGAAGGGACCCACAGGGATGATGGAGTCCTGGACATAACGTAGATGTCTGTAAACTCCAGTCATTACACTGCTGAACTAAAAAGTCACCGACAAAGCCTATAAGTGGTTTATGTACTGCACATACTGCACAGAAATAACAATAATAATAAATTTGACAAGCAAAAAGTCCTGAACTGGTGCAAAATAGCCAATCTTTATAGATCTTAATGAGATCATTCTGGCTAACATGAGCTGCATCCAGCATTCAGTCTCTTCTTATGCCAGGAAAGGTTCTCAGTTGTAGAAGCCAGATGTGTTTGGTTTGGGACTCAGACCCTACACTTTCATCAATCAATAAATAATAACAAATTATGAATTACAGATGTCCCACTACTTATTTTAAAAAATGTTTCCTGCAAAATTATCAAATTACAGACAAAGCATTACAACTGACAGCTATCCAGAATTTAAAAGCAGACAAACATTCTGTTGCATAATTTGACCTCATTTGGTAGTCATTCATTCAAATCAGTGATTTGACTGAATAAGGAGGTACAACACTTCTCTCCAAGTTTACTGATATTTTATTAAAAAAATAAATAAACTCCCTTCTTATTATACAGGAAAGGAAAAGAAGAAAGCCCATATTCAACACGCTTTACATAATTTTAATACCCCCATTAATTCCACCTAACTAGGCTCCTTTTTCAATCAATTTATTATCTTAGTTTCTGTTAGGATAAGGAATGCATAAATTGTTCTCCAAAAATTAAAAGCCTGTTGTAAAAGATTCTAGCACTAGAGTGGGGATTAACCCCAGAGCACAAAGAGAGAAAAGATACAAAGGAAAACTGACGCTCTGCTTTATGCTAAGGAAGAACAAGTTCACCCTGTGCACCATTCACTTGAGACTGAGCCGCCCTTTTGTGCACTTCTGCAGGTCCTCTGCTGATCGTCCTTTATGACTTGCATTATACGAAGGTGCAGAGAACTGGATTAAAATATTTTAAAATAAGTTCAATAGAAAATAACATCCTGAATACCTGCACAACACCTGGATGCAATCTGTAGATGCAGAACAGTGAGTAGTTCAGGCCATCGAGCACCAACTGTGAGGAGCACTCTGCCAACCCTCCTAAAAGGTCACTCTCACCTCATTGCCTACCTGCCTTTTGACAGAACAATTTGCTTCTCTTTATGTTGTTTAGGAAGAGAGATTTTACTGAAACACAGCATCTTCTACAGAACCCAAATGCACACACTGTAAAGAACATGAAATGTAACCCTTCTGCTCATTTAGGGTACATTTCCCCCCACAGCTCTGCTGCCTCCCTTCCCCAGGACAAATGGAGATGTTAAAGACAGGTATCAGAAACTTAAGGATCTTTAAGGACAAGAGAGTTTATCCTCATTAGCATTGCTCATTTCACACCTTATTTCACTTGGATGAATGGCTCTCATGATTTATTTCACCAGAAGTTCCCGAGTTCTGGTGAGGACATTCAGAGATTTTCTGGGAGATGAAATATGGGATACAAACTTAGCAATCCATTCCCAAGTAAGAACTGCTGCAAGCAAGAACGTAACTTCTCTGCTGCTTTACTTTTTAATCATTGTGCCATCTCCAGTCATCCACGAGGCTGAGACTCATTGATGGCACAGTTGCCTCTTGTGCATTTAAACCAGCTTTAAATCATGTGTTCATTAGGTCGTTTGCTATGCCTTGGTTTGTTACTGCCACAGAATATGCATAAATGTTGGGTGATGTTATGTGGTTATTACTGACAATAATAAAAAAAATATGTAGACAGATAAATCATTCAGGAAGTACATTTTTTTCCTCTGGGAAAGTGGTATGCGTGAGATCTCCTTATGCTGAACTCACTGAAATGCAGAACAGTAAGCCAGCTAATGACAAAAAGGATTAGAACAAGCCTACACCTGGTTTTCAGCTCTACAGGCCTTCCTTTGCAGAGACAAATTTATTTTTAATCTCACCTTAACGATGCTCATCAGGATGGATTTTCCTCTATGAATATTTAACTCCCAGAGTTACTTCTTAGTTACCAGCAGCCCCTTTCTGTGGCACCCCTTCCTTAGCTGCACACTTCACACTACAAGCAGAAGCCAGCTGAAGGAACTGCCACTAGGTAACGTGTAAATTTTCAGATGCATATAGCCTCAAATCCAGACAAAACACACAGATGCATACGTTCGGAATGATTTCCCTCAGAAAAGCTGCCCAATTTCTCCTTCCATCCTGCAGCCCTTCAGCTGCAGGTCACAATGATGTTCTTCTTTAGCGGAAACGCTGCGCCGTTTCGATTCCTTTCTTCTGGGAAAGGGGTGAATTGTTTTTGATCAGACTTTCACCCTCTTTTATTTTTTTAAAACAAAGTCACCTTTGAAAGCAGCTTTTGAGAAGCATAGCACTAATAGGCTTAAGTTTCAAACAGTTCCTGGTTACGGAAACAGGAGGTCAGAACCTAAGGACTTGGAGGCAGCGTTCAACGCATGGGTGAAAATCTTCAGCTAGGCAGAGGTAACATAACACTTTGTTACTTTTTGAGGAGGAAAAAGAAGACTGACTCATAAAATGCAAAATTCTGGAATAAATGCCCTTTTGCCCTATAAGTCTTTCTCACCTCTTCACACAGCAAATCACCTTTCAGAATACTGTGAAACCTCTGTTTCACAACAGGGGCAAAAGTGATGGAGCCCATTTTTAAGAATTCTTTCTACAACTTGAAAAGTAAACAGAAGGGAAGGCAGGTACTTGTTATGCCTCTGAAAACAAACCAGTGTTCATTTAAAAGACTGGTGATAGTGATGCTTCACTACCACTTCAGAAGATTCTAGTGTTGAAAACGATTATGGCATTGTTCCTCAAAGTGCGTGAGGTTTAACTAAAACACAAATATTTTGTGGCTTTCCAGGGTTAAAAAGAAACAGAGTATGGTGCCAGACCTCCACGCCTGGTGGCTTGCTTGCAGCCTCTCATATTCTAAACAGCAGAACAGATCTTGTTCTTCCAATAGTTCAGAAATTGTAGTTTATCAGACTCTGAGATGGTGCTAAAAATCCACCAAAACAAATGTGATTGCTGTTTATACAGAGATTATACCCACAGCACGAAACTCATAGTAAGGCCTACACTGAGCTAGATGATCAAATTCTTAATCAATAAAAGACAAACTAATTTCAAGAGCTGGTAGAAGGAATATGATGCTAACAAGGATCCCTATGGGTAATGAAATGGAGAATCTTCAAAACCATTTTCAAGTCAAGCCTCACAAACACACTGACCTGCACCAACAGACTGCAGTTCACCCTGTTCTCTGTTTTGGTTTGTTGTTTGTTTGTTTGTTTTTTTAAATTGGCCAAAGTGATTCAATAACACTGGTGAAAACAGGATGGTCATCTTAGTTTTTTCATCTAAAACCAGTAACTATTAGAACAGTTTTGGCTTCTATTCATTTTGAATTTGGCAGTAAAAACCGAGCTTGCACGAGGCATATTTATAACAGATCCTACCTTGGCTTTCAGCTCAGCACAGATCTCCTGTTGCTTTTGTCTGTTAATTGCTGATTCCACTTCTGCCTCCCGAGCAGCGGAGGCTTCAGCAACAGCCATCACCGCCTTCAGGACGAATGCTTTCCTAGCTTGAGCCCAACTTAATATCAAGACTCTGCGTTGATTCTTAAAGAAATTGTAACGATCCCAAGCTTTCTCATGAGTAACCTAAAAAAAAAAGTAATGCATTTCAGACAAGCTTGAAAATTAAAATCAATAAAATATTTTGCAAATCTTGAGTATCATTGGCATAATTACTGTATCTCCAATATCCGCATGGAATCACAATCGAGAGCCTGAAAGCATTCTGCCTGATGCTAGCTCTGCAGCAGCCTTCCAACACTGGCAGGCCATCCTAGCACTGCCATCCTTCCTGTTGTCTCCTCCACCACACAGCATTTCAGTATTCTGATATCCCACTGTTCTTTTCTGAACTGTACTTTTGGAACACAAACAAACAGAATGCTTTCTTAGAATACAAATGCTGTCATAGAATACATAAAATGCAAGTAGGTCTTTTCAATACATCATCAAAAATACCAAGCGCTTTTAGTTAGATGAGGCTCTTCATAGCAAATTATGACCTCCTATAGAGAAACAAAACACCATGTAAAGCAGTTGCATTGATGTAGTACAGATGAGAATTAGCTTCACTTTTTCTTTCCCAATAGGACACTTACAAACAGACTTTTAGCTTGCCAAGCAGCATACTGCCATTAATAACACACAGTTTTTCATCTTAAATACTCCTTCTTTGATTTTAGTCAGTGAGGTTCCAAAGAACATTCGAGCTTGATACCGTTGACAGAAGCAGTAATGGGTGAGGCTGCATGGACTGTGGCATTAGAAACTTGGACCTGTCTTACATCCCCCAAAAATATGAACTACAAGGATGAACATTCTAGAGATGGCCTTCTGCTCACAAACTTCTAGAGGCCCATTCCTGATGCTCCCTTCCAGGCTTTTAGCAGAAGACAAGGGGATGCTGACTCAGCTGGTGCCTGGCTCACAGGTTTCCCATGGGCTTGCAGCTGGTTGGAGATTAAATGTATCACTCCCCCTGGAGCTCCTCTCTGCACAGCTGTTTATATGGTCATCTCATCAAAGGTTCACACAGCCATCACTGCTGCCTCAAACTCAGGTGAGCCTTGCTGGCAAGCAGCTAAACTACACTAAGAAACTCCTGTACAAGAAAGGAGATGAGCAGGTTGCTCATCTAAAAGCAGGTCACTCTGATGACCTGCTGCTGAATCAAGCACCCAGTGCTTGTCCAGTCACCCACTCTTCTTCAGAGAGAAGGAAGTAGACAAGGTTCTAAGTTTAGTTAGTTATGCTAATGTAATAAACGTTCTAAGAATAGATTCTTAGTACTGTTCTAACGTTTCTGTACCTGTCATGACAATATAAACACTGCATTCAATGTGGAATTACGATTTTTAAATTTTAAATGCCCCCCCAAAGAATTAGAGAGGCCCATTAATAATGTCTATGGGGAAAAACACACAAACACTGTACGAAGCACATCATTATTTAGCCCAGTTATCACATGCAAAAGTTCCCAAGTCCACAAGAACTTCGCCGTCAGTGAGAGCATGCCATAAATCTCTATCACTTCATTGTCACTGCTTTGTAGCAGGCACTCCTCAAATACAAGAAAGTAGATGGTCTAAAAATAAATGCAGAGGTAAAAAAAGACTCCAGCTTTCCCTACGACATCCTGAAGTATTCTGGCCTTGAACTGGGTTTCTCCATTACCCGCTATGTGCTTATTCACTGTGGAGTGTAAAAGGAATCAGCAATCAATTTGAAGCACATTATGAATATAAAAATAGCCTCTCCCTGAGAGCAGGAGATATCTCTTCGCTCTTCCTGCTGTATATGTGCCACAAGCCAATTAAAATAACTATTCCTAGACGGTGTGACAGTGGTATACATCCTCATAAAAAATAAAAATAACAAGAGAAGCTGAATAGTGTGACATAGCTATAAAATGGTACAGCAAAGCAATGCTAGCAAACTAATTTTGTGAACTTGGCAGCAAGGGCTTGTGGAACTATAAAATCCCCACAGTGCATATTTTGAAGCCGCGATCAAGAAGTGAACGGCTTTCAAGTTCGTGGATTTTAAAGACAGGGACATCACATCTTCACCGTGCAGAATAAAACCAGTAATTAAGAACTTACGAAAGAAAAACCTTTGCTAGGCATTTTTAATACAAACGCTACCGGAAGCTTTCTGTAGGAATGCATACATTTGAGCTCTACTAACCAGTTCGTGCCTAGACTTGTGAGGAAGACATCTGTGCAGCATATCAAGGTACAGAGTCCTTCTCTGCTGGAGATCACTCGGATACTGATTGATGACAGTCTGAAAAACCCACTGATCCTCTTCCTTCCAGTCAGTGTTCCTGCAGAAATCCAGAACAACTGGTAACTGTGCCCAGCCAGGCCTGTCCTGCTGCCCAGTGCCTCAGCTACTGCCTGCGGGATGCATCACACACCTCAGCCTGAGCTGCTAAGGACAAGGGCCTTAGCAGATACATCTGCAGATATCGGTTTAGGAATAAGAATACTGAAATAATAATACGGATTTGGACACCGATTAATATTAAAATTAATGAAATGGTAGACAGAGCAATCTTTCCCTCAGCAATTTTACCTGAGATAGACATGTGTTTCTCTTATTCTCCACTCATTTTTTTTTTAACTTCTCATAAACTGTGTGAAATACCTGACAAACTATTTCCAAGACGCAGCTGTTTAATTTTAGATCCAGCACCATGAAAAGAAATGGAGGTGGTTTCAAAATGGGAGGGAGAGAAGATCCAGCTCCTGTAAAAAGTTTATTTTCAATGACTGACAGCTACTGCGCAAGCTGGAGACAACATTAAACAGGAAATAACTTCAGTATAGCAGACATTGTCTAGCAATTAAAGTGCTTCCTTATAGGCTGCTCCTTAATTTTTCATGAAAGACAATGAATGCAGATTGCTGAGCGTATGGTGCTTTCATTTTCTAGGAACAAAGAAGAAATAGTGCCCAACAGAGTAAAAGGCATTAAGGAGCCCATCAAAAAGGGAATGGCTGCAGTCCTGTAACTGCAAGGCTGGGCTGCAGGTCTCCAAGTCAAGAGCTCCTGAGCTGCGACAGGGAAGGCAAAGGAAAGCTGTGCTGTTCCTGCAGCCTCTATGAAAGCTGCCTTGCAACTGATCCTCAAAAATGAGTGCTATAAACATCACCCCCCTCTTCTTTTCTCTTGAGAGTGCTTTCAATGAAATCAGTTCAGTTATTAATTTTAGAATCTGTGTCATAATTTGGTATTTTGAGGTATAGGCATTCTGAAGAATAAATTTAATGAACAAATTAATTATCCTTTGCTATGACTTAAACCTCTTCAACTGCAACTGCTCCCATGGAGGCTTAACTGACTGCATTTCTTAAGATAACACGGCATTCGTTCCAATCATGCAGGTTGATGAACATCTAGAGGTCTTTTGCCTGCAGTAAAGCACATCCCGACCAGCAGACACTGCACTGCCCACCTGAGAGCAGGGGCCGGCACAGACCCTGCCTCAGAAGGCCGGCCTGGTGCTCCCCATCTGCAGGGCACAAGGGTATGTGAGGTCTTGCACCCACATTTGCCTCAGCCCTCTCACCTCCCTACGGATCCCTCTGACTGTCCACTGCTGTGATGGCAGCTAATGATGGGTGCTGTGCTGCTCACGAGCACGACGGAGAAATTGGGAGTTGTGGAAGATGGCCCAGGGAGCTAACAGCTGGAGCCACATGTGGGTTATTGGAAGCAGGGAAACACAGAAGTCTTGGTTTGTCAGCTGTGAAGAGATTTGGTCAGCTGTATACAGACAAATAGCTAAAGGAAACATGATCAGTCTGGTGTATTTGCAACCATTACATGCGCAGAGAATTAGAAAAATATCTAGCTTCAATAAATGCAAGATATTTTCTTAATTAAACTTCTGCAAAATTACATAAAACAAGACCTCATCTAAAAGAAATTTGTCATCCCTCTTTACGTCACTATTTAAGGTAGTATGCTTCTTCAGCACCAGGATATTGGCAAACATTTACAAAGCTGATGGCACAACCCGATTTTTAAACATCCTTCTTGCTTTTCTTCTGTGTAATTCTGCTACCAGAAAACATTTCAATCTTGTTTCTGTTCCAGAACTGAAACATGGAGATGGTCTGACAGTCAGCAAGCCTGGGGCAGCTGCTTCCTTTGAAACAAATTTACCCAGGGTTAATCCCTGGCCTTATGCTTTTAAAGAACACAAAGGGACTCGGAAGGGAAGCTGCCCTATAATCCCCACACATCCTTTACAATAGCTGGGACAACATAAACTTGATGCACTGATGTGTTGTGGAATCTGCAGATAGGCTGCAACAAGGATTCTATATTCCATGATATGATCAGTGCCACCAAATGAGATGTTAACTCCCTGGCCATCAATTATGTTATTGCTGATTGTTCCACCAGAAACATCCCATTAATGGGCCTTAAAAAAGGGACCACGTTTACTCACCATAGTCCCAATATCCCTTTCATTGAAAGGGTGTTGCTGAGGATGGTGCTGAATATGTAATACGAAACCCATCTTTCAGCTATTTAAATAATTGAGATATCCTTGGAAGTTGTGGCAAAAATATAGTTGTGCTTAGAGAATCATCAGCTATAACGCATCAGTTCCAAGTCCACGATTTATGGGACAATTTAGAAGTTGGATTTTTCCCAAAAACAAAATCTGTGTTTCAGCAGAAATAAAGGAAGTGAATTTGACTGATCAAACATCATCATCCTATATTATGCTTGAAAAAAAATCTTCAGTTTCTAAAAGCAATAAACACTGAAACTGCTATAAATTTGCCACCTGCTGCTTTATAAATGCTATAAAAATTGGAAAGATCAGGACAATTTTTAATAGGTATCATGTTATAACACCTAGGACTGTATAGTAATAATAGACTGGTTTCAGATAACAGTAGGAGAAGGCCCTACAAAATATCCAGGCAGTTTATATAAAAGATATGTAGATAACATCACTTTCTAGGGGATGCAACATCTTAAACCCGTTTGAGCATTCCCACACTAATTTATCAGCAGTGGCAGGATATTTAAGCACTGCACTGCAAGAGTGTGTAGGAAAAGGGGGAGTTTAGATCACGTTTGTGATTGTTTTACCAATAAAACAGGTTTTTTTCTGCTGTCTCCAGTTTATTCTTCCCAGGCTCCAAATAATTCCTCTGGCCTTCCCACTCTCCACCTTCTTAAAAACCTGACATCATTTTAATCTGGGTGATATCAGTAAAGAACAAAAAGAAGCCAAGGCTGGTACAACAGATGCAACTCAGCACTCTCCTGGACTCAAGTTAGCTGGAGCAGGAAAGCTGATCTTTGCTCCATTAGCATATTATATTTCTTAGTTACATATTGCATTTCTAGTTACGTTACATTTCCAGATCATTATGAATATTTGTGTTCTTTCTATTAACTTTTTCATTTACAGAAAAACCTCTCCTTCTTTAAACCATTCTTTATCTATATATATTCTTACATTTGTTTATGATGATAATTAGTGCAGTGATCCAAAATTCTTTAAAAGACGAGACCTATTTATCAGCTTTATAGACAAAAGCATTTCAGCTCTGTGCAAACAGCTGCTGACGTTAGCTCCAGAGAGCTGGGCAGTGAGTCAACTGTTCTCTGCACCGAACAAAATAGTAAAGGAAACTGCAGAACCTGCAAATTGCAAAATGCATTGAAGTCTATGTTGTCCTCTGCAAAAGAAATCCAGAAGCAGGTATCATTACCTATATATGACGTCTAGCTGTTGATCAATCTCTTGCAGCTTAGACCAGTATTCATTTGCAAGCTTGTGGTATTCATTGATAACAAAGCTCTTCAAGTCTGGGTAAGGGAACTTCAAAGACAGGAGATCTGAAGGAACTTCATGGAAAAGTCCGTTTTTCTCTTCAAATCCATGCACTATGGCCTGGGATGAAAACATGCTACTCAGCACACTACTCTGCATTATATTTTTTCTCCAACATCAGTAACTACATTTATAAGGAAAAACTTACTTCTATTTTGTAGTCTTGAAGCTCTCTTTCCAAAGCCAGACTTTCAAGGTCAAGAAATTCCAAAACTGTTTTCCATTGTTTCTTCACAGATTCGATCTATTTCATGAAATACATTACTGTTATTTCTTTATATTGTTGGAATGTGAAATTTCTGATTTAGAAACAAAAACTTGATTTCCAGTTTAACTCTGCTATGCTCTTACAGGTTTCAGTGAAACAGATTTGCACTGTGGCAAGTGCAGAACTTACTGAACACTTACTGAATAGTCTGAAAGTCAGCTTTAGCCTCAAAACATTGCATACAAAATAAATGCTAAGCAGCCCACAATCAGAAATCGGACAAGTAATGATAAAATGCCAACCTGCTGTAACTTCTCAGCTAGACTGAATTTGTTTTTCAGAGATGAGTCTTCTGTGACGTAATGCTGCATTTCAGACAGCCAGAACTTCAGATTCTCTCTTAGTTGCCAGATAGGAGCCACAGCATCAGTTTGGTAAGCATCCCGCTCCTGGGACAATTTATGCTCTATGTGCAGATGAAACACAAAAGCTTTCTAAAACACAAAGTATTATGCAGCACTGTGCTTCCTAAACCAATAACTGTCATGACCGGTATTTAAAAACTCAACAAGCAATTAAGATAATTTTGACTGTAATAAATAATCAATAAATGAATTGAAAATTCTTACCCAAGTCCCATATATCCAAAAAAAAGTCGTACTTATGACTTCCTTCATCAAGAAGAGCCTGTATTTCTGCTTCTGCTTTTTCCCTGCAAAATGGGAATGAGTTTGACAGAAGACTTGATTGATTTCTTAGTTATTAAGTTTGCAAGAATGATAAACCTCAGACATTTCATTCATTAAATAAAAAGGACTCTCCACGTGTGAAGGTACCAAGGGCAGGAGTTTGATGGGAGAGAGGTATGGAAGCCAGCCTTCCTTCAGCAAAACATGCTGTAAGAGATCTGCTACATAGCATGCAAGCTGGTGGACATAAGGCAGCAAAGTTGTGGTTCGGGCAGCAAATTCTTTCTGAGAAAAGAACTGCATCAGGGTACCAGAAGTATTCTTCCTGAGAATTCTGGGATAATAGACATCGTTCAAAAGGCACAAAAACAGCTTCTGCAGCCTGTTGCCTCTTGTCCTGCCACTGCCCGGCACTGAAGAAAGCCCAGCACCACCCATCTGATTCTCACACTTCACGTATTCACAAGCACTGATCAGAGGCCCTCTCACTCTTCTCTTCTCCAGGTTGAAAAGCCCCAGGTCTCTCCGTTTACTTTTGCAGTGACCTGTGTGCATGCAGAACATCCACCTCGCTCTGCCCATTTTTAATCTGTTCTCTTTGCACCTGCAGACCCCTTTCAATGGCAGTCACAAACTCTTTTGCCTGCACAAAGATCTGTCTTCTCCTCCTAATGTCCCTTTCATCCCATGTGCCTCACAACAATCTCTGCCATCTGATGTATTTATTTAACAATGAATTCCTCAGCTCCTACCTGTTCTCACTGAGTCTCTTATACTCTTGCCACCACACTCGGCAGTGCTGTTTCTGCAGCATTTGCTCTTTGCTAACTTTTGAAATTTGCTCCATTTTTTTGATCTGCAAGGCAATTAAGAGTGTCAGTATTTTTGGTACGTGAATATCGAATTTCTTCATATTGAAACTGAATTACAGAACAGAAAACCTAACAGCTCTTTACAAAGCTGTTTTCTAAAGAACGAGGGGTAATTAATTGCCATGAAAATTTTTATTCCACTTCAAGTTGCAATTAAAATGAAAAATGAAAGAAGTGTAATCCGTTTTCTTCTTCTTCTTTGCCTTCATATTCCTATTTCCCAGAGGATAAAGGGGGTGGGTGAGTAAGAGAAAGAAACAGCAACAAACTTTCTTACAGGTGGGAAGAAGATGTAAGAATGAAAGCACATCTCTGAAGAAAAATATTGGTTACTGAAAAAGGGTGCTTTTCTAAATCTGTCCAATTAGAGATGCTCTGAATTTATCTGCAGATTTCACAAAGGCATTGCTTCAACTTCATGGAGAACAGGAAGGAGTGCTTTCAGAGAGATGGAGTTACTTCTTAAAAATCCATCATGGGACAGTGGAGGAAGTAGCAGCCAGACATTCTGGCTAATGAAGAGAAGAAGGAGCGGAACGCCCAGAAGACATTCGCTCCTCTCGTGCTACTTCTCTTCTTGCTTCCCACCACAGCTCCCTCTGTACCACCCAACCCCAGCACTCCCCAGCCAGCTGCTTCAAAAACCCCCTGTTTGCAGAGGATGCCCTGATTCATCCAACCCCCTACTCTCCTCTTTGCTGTCAGATCCCATGCAGACAGTGAAAAGAAATATGATCACTGTATTAAAAACATGGTAACACAAAAACATTAACATTAAAAAATACATACCTTTAATTGAATTTTTCTGGATGCCATTTTTTCTGCTGCAGTGAGTTCACACAGACGTTTGTAGTCAATGGGTTTGTACTTCTGACTGCAAAGCATTCTCATAGGATTCACCAGATTTTCTAGTTATCACATAAAACATTTACAACCACGTCAAATTCTCAAGAAATATTTTAAGTATGAGCCAAAAAATGAAAGCATTATGCATAGAAATTAGAGACAGCACAATAAAAACATTAGAAGTTTTCATAACAGAGATTTGTAGGTGCTGAATAGGAATCTGATATAAACAAAAGCTAGATAAGATAGAAGCAGTAAGAAAAATTAACCATTTGTCTTTTCATAAGTAGTAAAAGCAGTTATTTTTTTCTATGTGTACTAAAAGAATAATTCACTTCAAATAGAGTTTACTGGAATTTCAGTAACTTCTAACACAGAAATATTTAGGCTTCAATATAGGCATAATTATTACACCAACTGGAATACCACCTCAACATGTATTGTCTTGTACGAATTGATTAATAGGATTTTTTTTTAAAGAAAAGCTCTATAAGTCAATACTTGAATGTAAGTATGTGACTGGGTCAGTCTCAGAAACACTTCTCATCAAATCTCCAGCCACAAGAACAGCAAAACTTTCCTACAGAACTTCCTTAAAAAAAGCAAGGAAAGCATTCTGCTTAGCTCCTGTCACACTGGTGTGGCTCAGAATGCCCACCTTCTACCCATATCCCTATCCGATTCGTCTATCCCCATCACTATTTGAAAGGTTGTCTCAGTACTGAAAGTCTGTTGTCCAAAAACCCAGAGGAGGCAGCTGAGCTGAAAAAGCGTTTGATAAAGCTTAATCAAGCTGGTCTTTCACCACGCAGTGAAGCTAACTCGCGCTTCTCCCTTCAAGAGATCTCACAGAGGGAAAATTTCTTCCATTTTATCCTTCCTGTAATCTTTGTATGAACAACTCTTTTCCCCTGGTTTTCAGTCCTGTAGGAAGCATTGTTCATCTACTGTCTTTTGTTCCCCTAGATCCAGATTTGAAATCGTCTTCCCTAAGTTAGCAAGATTCTACATGAACACTTTTTCCCTGCTTTTGAGATTGGTTACAGCTTTGTCCATCAGAGATTGTGTAGACTAGGCATTAGGAAGAAATTCTTCACTGTGAGGGTGACACAGAACAGGCTGCCCAGTGAGGCTGTGGATGTTCCCTCTCTGGAAGCACTCAAGGCCAGGCTGGATGGGGCTGTGAGCAGCCTGGGCTGCAGGGAGGTGTTCATGCCTGCAGCAGGGGTTGGAACGACGTGATCTCATATGTCCCTTCTGACCCAAAGCTTCTGACCCAAATGATTTGTGATTCTGTGTACCATCATTATGCATTCAAAGAAGGAAAATTTTAGCAGACGAACCCTTTGAACAAGTACACATTCAGTTCTTCCTCTTAAGCCTGTTAATTCTTCACTACTGCTCCTGAACCTTTAAATCACTGCCAGTCTGCAGTCATTTCAAGTAGCAGCATTGGTGTCCACTCTCAGAAGCAGCTGGACACAGCAAGAGCCTCAGAGCATTTCCATAACGTAGCTAATTAAGGCTCCCTGCAGGCATTTCACCTGGTATATAAGCCAGGTTTGCAATTTCATCCTGTCATACTCATCCGAAATGAATCAGTAACTGCTGCTGTTATCAATAACTGATACTAACTACTCTCAGAAGTCATTAAATACAGCATAAATGGCATAAATCTCGTGATCTCAGAAATACACAGCAGTGTGATCTTCTGCCTTCCAGCATACTGAACCTCACATAATTCCAGGGTAGCCTACTATGGTGCAAGTAAGTGTCAGAACAAAGCTGGGACAGCCACCTTCCAGAGGACATTACAACCCGCCTCTCCCCCTGCAGTGCCTGTTACAGCTGCTGCTGTTCTCATGCCACTGCTGACCTTCACCTGCTGACAGTGTCACCTTCTGATCAGGAATCAGAAGTTATCCTGAAATCATTTCACTAGCATAAAGCTCTCACGCCAGTTGTTCCAAATTGTGGTACAGATATCCAGGGTGAGGAACCCACCTGGGTGTCACGGTCAAAATTGCAATAGCCTGACCAGTATTCCTTGGCCTATAACAGCACTGTCATTCTCCTTAAGCCACTCGATGAAATTACAGCTTGGTGTCCCTGTTTAACAGCTGCCATTTACCATCAGCTTCTGAAACCATGCTTTCTGTATGCCAGCTTTATTCCTCAGTGAGGTGTATCAAGGATAAGGGTGTGATCAAAAAAACAAACACATCTTTTTTGTTCTCTTTCTTTCTCACGATATTAAATGAGTGAAAAGGGTGGACAGCAAAAAGAACGTAAGAACAGGAAGGACATACTGATGTAGGGGAAGCAACAGAGCTCAGTGCAGAAAGTGAGGAAAGGAGAAGGAGACACCCCACTGGATGAACAGAAAAGAAACTGGAATGTTATCTAAAAAAAAAAAAAAAGAAAAAAAGCCCTGTTTCTTTTTTAGTCTGACCACGGAGAAGTGCATCAGAGAAACACATAAAGGTTACACTTGGTGGTGCTCCTTCACATCTGCAAGAATCAGAAGGGATGGAAGGCAGGGTCAATTCCCAAATCTCTCACCCCATGTCATTCACTTTTGCCTTTGCTTTTGATATGCTTTTTGCTTTGCCTTGTACATCTGAACCTTATGAATCTCCACTCGTAATCTTTATCAGCTTCTTTTACTGAGGACCTTCCTCTTTGAGGATATTTCTGAAGGCAATTAAATCTATTCATGTACAATTAACTCCAAAACGAGGCTGCTAGCATATCAGATGAAAACTTTACATTTAATATGTTCGTGTTGGATGTGCCTTCCGTCTTACAAATATAAAGATGCCTTTATGTACCTAATATGTACATATACATCCAAAAATATATACATACATATCCACATTAGTGAAAAATACTAAGCTAACATTTTTTCACGATTCTCTGTAATAAATATTGGCTAAACATGAGATACAATTTTAATAGTGAACAAAAATACTTCAACATTTGCCCAGGTAATGTAAGGCTCAGCACTCAGACCTTCAGTAATTTCGTGTGTAAGCTGGGAATTTTCATAGAATCAGAGAATGAGGTTTTCCTTCCCATTTTTTTTTTTTTTTGGGGGGGGGGGGGCGTATCTTTAATAGTGAAACTTGCCATTAAGTATCACTATAAACTTTTTTTTCCCATTCATCAGTAAGCACGCCATGGCTCAAAGCTGTATTTCTAGAGCACTGCAGAAGGACCCCATATAAAATCCTAAGGCAAGTCCTGAAAGCCATCTCACAACCCTCCTCCAAGGCTCTCCGAAGGATTCGCATTTGCTACATGCCCTACAGAAAATCTGACAGAATGACCCCACAGCTCTTTGTGGAAACATATTTTGCATTAGACATCAAAATACTGGAGCAGCTTCCATACGTCACAGTTAAACCACATATTGCATAAACTGTTCTATTTTTACAATTGAATTTGTACTCGACAGTGTACATACCAACATCACCAATCCTCTGAGCTGCAGACATTGTTCTGTGGTCTGCTTCACTTCTTTCTACGTGTTGTTTAGCATCTGTTGAGAAACAAACATGTCTTGAGAACACCAGCACTGAGGGTGCTAAAAATACACGTACAATAAACACACATTGATTTCCAAGAGGAGAGCACATATCAGAGTGAATGTGTAATTAGAAATTACACAAGTTCATCTTCCATTTTAAGAAAGATTTCACTTCTTTTGCTATCGTTCAAAAAATCTCTCATGTTATTTAGGGAGCAGCTGAGAAATGGAAACCAAACTGTGATTCATTTGATGGATCTGTGACACTGTTACCAAGTAGATCACTCATCCTTCATGCTTTTTGAAATGTATCTGTCCTACTGGTCCAAATGGAAGATTGCTTTTTGAGCTGCTCTTTGATTTTTAGAAATGAAGCCTGAAAGGCCTCTCTGATTTTGTACTTACATACTATAGTTTATATCTAGATCTCTTTATACTCCTTCAAGAGCCTCTGCATTAACACCTGCCAATCCAACCCAGCTGTTTCAGTAATACTGGCTTAATTCTTAATAAGCAGTGAGGACAGACAATGTACATCAAGGGTCTACAGCACGCTGGGATCAGCCTCGCATTTACACTGCAGTCATAGAATCACCAAAGTTGGAAAAGGCTTCCAAGGCCATCTAGTCCAACCGTAAACAATAACATCTACAATGCAGTTAAAAAACAAACAGAATCACAGAATCACCCGGGTTGGAAGGGACCTCAAGGATCATGTAGTTCCAACCCCCCTGCCTAGCAGGGCCAACTTTGATGTCCTAGAACTGTGTTTCCACTTCAGTTAGGCACTATCACAGGTTTCGCATGTGAAGCAAACATGCATGCAAAGCTAGAGGTGGGGTTTCAGCAGATCTGGATGAACGGCCGAAGCACAGCAGAAGGGAAAGGCTGCATGCAGCCTGTCTGCCCCAAACCCTCCCCCTCACTCCCAGCTTCACCTCACCATTGCTTCCTAGACACAAATTCCACCTAATGTGGTGCAGCTTTGGCATGTGCTGCTCCTGCAGCAAGTAGCAACACAGTAAATAGCAGACCAGCAATGTCTGTTCATCTGTGTTTTGTGGAGTTATTTTTCTGCTGTTCTAGCAAGTTGAATCAGCTTATCCACACAAATTCCGAGGATGGCCCAACGCATAAAAAGAAAGGCAGAGAAGAGCAGCAGAAGCAATTGAAAGGGAATGACTCTGACAGAGAGCTATTAATTTCAGTCTACACAAACTCTGCGACTGCAACCAAGGATACTTAGTATTGTATGTTCCTGCGAGCTATATTTCTTCCTGACAACATTCTGCATTGCAGAATCATCAAAAACAGCTTAAGTGTAAAAACCTGACCGAGATGGACAAGTTTCATTGAACGAAGTACCATTACCACTGCAAAAAAACAAAAAAAAGCAAATGCAGTTGAAACTAAGCCACAACTGCACACAGCCATTCCTGTGTCTCCAAGACACTGTTTGATATTCATACTGTATTTTAGTTAACGATGAAAGTTAGAAAGCAAAGAAAAATCATGGCTATCAGGTGCTGTACAAAGAATATTGGATGATGGCAGCAAGTAGATAATAGCGAATGCTCACTGATGGCATGACGTTTCCCAGTGCTTCTCAGTGCATATTCTTCTATGTTATTTAAGTGAAAGAAACCCTGCCTTGCACTGAACCAAAATCCACAAGTCTAAACGTCATCTACCTTCACTCAAGAGCAACCACATTAACAAGAAAGGGACCTTTCCAAGTTTGTTCAGGAAGAAATTGGCAGTATCAGTGGGTCAGGAGCTGCTCTGAAGGCCAACATCTGATCACAGGGGCTGAAATTGAAGGAGAAAATATGATAATACATTTGGGAGTTTGTTCTTATTATAAAACATTAATGTTTATTTTACAGTCTAGTAGTCACTTGCAAACAAATTCACGGTGCTATCCCAAAGTCTGCACACTGCTCAAGGGAAAAAGAAAGAAAAGAATTAGCATATTCATTTTGTTGATCCCATTTTCTCTCCTTAAAGCAATTGCTTGGGTTTAACCTGTAACCATGTAACAAGGCCAAATTCATCCAGCCAAAGGAGTAATTCTGCCCAGAAGAAGCTGCTTTGTTTGGCCTATTTGTGATGGTAATGTTCTATGGGCGTAACAACCTGTTTCTGCATAATTCTCTGTCCGCACATATACTTCAGATGGAATTGATTTTTATTTTAATCAAATCCATTCTATATGTAAATTCTCTACTTAGAGACTTGCAGAACAGTACAGAATGAGAGTTACACCCTTACTTAGTATGTCAAGACACACAAAGTCGAAATGTCTCTTCTTTCCCCTCTAAAACAAAATACATTTTTTTGCTGCTTCTTAAAAAGGTCAGCTATGCACAGAATAGCCTTTACTTCTTGGAAGAATCAGCAGAAATACAATTGGGACAAGAAATACTTAATCACCAGCTATCACAACCCCAGCCTCATTCAGGGAGATGCTCAGCAGTTATTACCATCACCTACAGACATTGCTCCTGACATGACAGCATGGTAAAACTGCCCCAGGCCTCTTCCAATAGCACCAGACACATGCTGCATCGGTTGAGGCCAAGAAAAGAAGGGCAAGAGCCAACCAAATGATTCTGTGTGGCTGTGACCACTGTCAGCGGAGCCACACAAGCTCTGCCCAGCAGCACACTGGGCAATGTCTCTTCAGGGATTTGCATGCTGTGGTTAATATTTACACAGTAGTTTTCGTCTCCCTTGCCAGAGATAACAGCAAGGATACCATATTCAGAGATTCTGCAAGCAGAAACACATTTATCTCCATTGGACACAGCACAGACTGCACGTGCCTTGTGGAACGAGTCACAGAACAGAATTCTGACTTCTCAGACTTGTACCAGCCCAGCATAATGCATCCACAAGGGCGTGGGTTAGTTCTAACTGCAGTGAGACGCCAAAGTTCCTTACAAAGTTCTAGTCAAACTGAGAGATCTGTAACAAAGCAGGATGGCTTTTCTTTGCTCTCGCTATTCTTGGCACCCCGATTTCCCATGCTGATGTTAGAGGGAATCAGTACCTCCAAGGGTTCTCCAGCTGGGCTGTTTTCACAGGGTTCTGAGAAGCGCTGAGCCCCCAGCAGAGCTGCACAGCCGTACCTGTGTGTGCAGCAGCGACCCAGCACAGGCAGGGCAGGCCAGCACTGCACACAGCACATGGAGCAGTGCCAGCTGCCCGAGGGAATCCCTGCCGAGTGAATGAGCTGTGCAGCTTCAGAGAGCAGAAAGCTCACTTCCATTTTTGTGCTTACAAGCATAAGCCGTGGACAGTGATAAGTAGCAGAAATATTGTCTACTTCCTCTTGCATTTCCACTCCAGTTCACAAAAGGCAGTGCAAGAATTCAAGGGATATTAATTGCATTTCAGTACACGTGACAGTGTCCTTAAGCACTCTCCTCCCTTCGCTCTTGAGGAGACCATAAGAATTTTTTCAGTTCATAACCTTAAAAAAGTAGTTCCCACTGTGATCCTGCTTCACTAAATTCTATGACCTGTTAGCACTTCTAGCTGTGGAGTCTGCATGTAAAGGGGAGCAGGGCTGGGTATATTCTCATCGTAATGATAATCTCACCAAGACTGAATTTACTGTGCACCTGGAAATGACAAATATATTTAATAACTGTGGGTTAATTCTTGGAGCACTCACTCAAGGCCTACCCTGCAGCCTTGTCTAACTTGCAGGTGAAATCTGTAGCAACTACTACAGCTTATTATCTAGAATTTGTGTTTCATGGTGCAAATGACTAATTTTAAAGTTTTGCAGCTGCTTGAGCAGAGATAGTGAGCTAGATCTAGCAAGTAAACTATTCCTGATATCTCATCTGCCTCCTTTTTTTCGTATACTTGTTTTTGAACCTAAAGAAATTTCAGAGTGAAAGCCTCAGTTTTAGTAAGACTGCAGCGCTTCAGAAATCTGTTCATCTGTACAGCAGAGTAACTTCAATTCACACACTTCTTCTGTAAAGAAAAGCTATTTGGTACATAGTACAGCTTGGAACAACGGTAACTTCACTGTGCAGCAAGCTGTCCTGCTTTTAGAGTCATTGTATATTTTCTCTGGAATAGGTTTGTTTCTGTGGCCTTTTTCAGCAGTTTATTAATGCCTGTTAAACACAACTGGGATCAAGCACACTATCCAGAAACTTGGTCAGTCCTTTCAGTCTGTACATCTGAAGGGATAACGTCCTCTGGCTGCTGTCAGGCAGTGCCTACCACTCAAACATCCTAAACCAAGGTGAGATGTCGTGTCACTTGAGCATTCAATCCAGAACACTTTACCCAATCCTTCACATTCAAAAAACCGAAGAGAACAGAAATCCACCAGTGTTGCCTTTCTTGGCTCTGCCCCATGCTGGTTGCAGCACAGAGCAGCTCCAGCAGTGCCCTGGGACAGCAGCATGGCTGAGTGCCCCCAGTGCCCGCAGTGCCCCGTAAGGCTCTGACCAACAGCTCGGCCGTGCCACGTGCTGCTTGCTGATCCTGGCCCGTACCTACACAACTGTTATTGCTTTCCCAGACAGCATCTGTGTCAGGTGAGTGTCCTTCCAGGATGTGGCTGGGTGACTGCCTGGTGATAGCACTGCTCCAGCACGTGGAGCCGGCCGTGCTGGATGGCTGTGCTCCCACATCACAGACACAAGCTCCAGTCCCAGCCAGCAGGCAGCACAAGCCAGGACCTTCCTCCTCCTCAGCTTGCAGTCTACAAGGTGCTCCAGAGCTTACAGTGGGGGGAGACTTTGTCTCCAAAAAGTTTAGACACGATGAGGTCTTAGCTCAGGCTTGTTTTTAGCATCAAGGGCAGACTGAAAGCAGCAGCTCAGAGACCTGAGGGCACTGAGCAGACACAGAGCTACGCCCTGTGCAGGTGAAGATCACCTTCTACAAAGCATCTCCTCAGCGACAAACCCCACCACAAGGAATGCTGTCCCTTTCAGAAAG